CTCTGCAACCCTCACCTTCCAGCCTTGTGCAAGGCTGGATTCCAGCTCGGCAGCTGGCCCCTGCAGGCCCCAGGCCCCAGCCAAGTTCAGGAGCAAAAGAGGCACCTATGCCCGCCAGAAGGAGCCTTGCCGGACACCTGGAATCCCAGGTCCTGGAACGTTCCCTCTCCGAAGGACAAACTGCCAATAATGTTCGGGCCCAGAAAACATCTTCCGACCTTGAATAAATAATCAGAGATCTGAGTAGCTGTTTTATTTACCCAGTAATGCCATGACTAGTGTAGAAGCTTTTCCAGCAGTGACGCCCTCGAATTGGTCTTAAGAAACAGGGTGCCGTGGTGTGCAGAGTGGCACAGAACGATACGGAGAGTGAGGGGTGACATTGTGCGGTTTCTGGCACATCCCTGGGAGGAAGGGGTTGGGTGGCGACAGAAAGAGGTCACCAGGGTCTGTTTCAGACGTGCTGACAGCTGCTTCTCTACCGCTGGGGATGGGGGAGAGGCCCCCTTGGAACCGGGCAGAATGTTCCTTCTGTGTATTTGCCTGGATGGGAGGGCCCGGGGTGCAGACCCAGCCGTAGCCCCAGGGAAGAAGCAGGTCAGGAAGGGGCGGACTCAGCAGAGCCCAAGGCCTTCAACCACAGAGCCTTGGGTGGGCTCTGGAGGGAGGCTGGGGCCCTGAAGGTGCCGCCTCTCTGCTGCAAAGTTTATCCACAAGGGCAGGATGTCCAGGTGGGAGAAAGCGAAAGCAGAGCACCCACCCAGAGGGCAGGGGCGGCCAGGCTCCTGTCCGGCCGCTGCGAAACCTCACCAGGTGGCCTTGGGCAAGGCTCTGGCCATCTCATCTGGAAAGGTCCCTCACAGTAGGGCCCAGCACCCTCTGGGCCTCAGGACTCACTTGGAACCATGAGGATTAGCCACTCATGAGCAGGGAGTGCCCTGTGGAGGAAACTCTTGTCCAGGGCCTGGGCGGCAGGAACGCTCTGCTGTCAGGTGGGACCTTGAAGAGACCAGGGGAGGAGCAGCGGCCTCCTGGCCTCAGGCTCGTAGGATCTGCCAGTACGTCTAGCACACCAGACAGGCTGCGAACCCGACAGATGGGAGGACGCCCAAAGGCCTTTACCTGCCAGCCAGGTAAGGGCTGCGCCCTGGCGAGGCTGGACTTCCAAAACGGCAGGCATGAGGAGCAGGCTTTGTGCTTCTCCGTCCGTGACTCTGGGGCAGCCCCGCTGGGCAGTGCTCCAGGTCCTTCCTGCCTGGGGGCCAGGCCCTGGGCAGCTCAGGCCACCTAACCATCTCCCAGCTGAGGCGTCGTTCTCTTTTCTTTGGGCCATTTTGTGAGAAAAGCAGAAAGAAGCAAGAGGCATGGATAAGTCCAAGGTGACAGGGAGATCGCATAGCCAGTGAGACAGTCCAAATCCCGCACTTTCCAGCAACACCCATGCCTCTCGGACTTCTGAACCATCACGTGTGTGTGCGTGCATGCGTGCATACCCAAAACTAGAAAACGTGGAGGGGGCATCCTACAGCAGGGCCAATGGGAGGCCCTCGGCCCTAACATCAGTCCCCTCCGGCTTCCCTCCCCTCCTGGTACCAGAGACTGGCAGGACTATCCCCTGCCTGCGGGCTAGCCCAGCCCTCACCGGCGCTTGGCTCTGCCTCCCCAGCCCTGCCCTGGCATCAAACCAGATGTGAGTGCAGTCCCCCACTGCATGGCTCTCTGCCACCTGTGCCCCATGGCGAGACCATCCCCCTCCCCCTCTACTCTCCCAATTCATCCCAGGCTGGACCAAGGCCACTGATAGAGGGCCAAGGCAGCCTTCCAATGCCCAGCTGATGTATACAGTATCCACTGGCTCCCGAGAGCCCACGGGGAGGAGGCCCAGCACCGGGGCAAGGACACAGCTCCTGCTCTTGGGGGGCTCATGTCTGGCACAGACGGGGGCCATGCGGACCTCTATACCAGTCTGCCCGTTCCCAGAGGCAGCTGGGGAGATGGGGACAGCCCTGGAAGGATAAGCTGGATGGAAGCATCTCCCAGAGGGGAGGAACTCTAGCCAGTCGCAGGGGGCCCAGCTGACTCCAGAGGCTGTTTGCTGGCCCCTGTCGGTCACGCAGCCACAGGGAGCACCACGCAGGGATTTCCAGCCGCAGCACGGCACCCACCCCGGCGCCTAGCTCGGCCAGTGCCCCACACCCAGGTGCGTCTAATGCACCGAGAGTGCCATCTGGAGGAAGAAGGGGGCAGTGCAGAGCGAGGGTGGCCTCCGGCTCCAGGGCCCACCAAAGCCCCAGCAGAGGTCAGGTTACATTTTCTAGTAGTCACATCAACAAAAACCAAAACAAACAGGTGAAATTAACACATGACATCAGCAAATCAACACGTAAAAAAGTGACTCATGAGCTCTTTTACAAGTTTCTCTCCCCACCGTCTCTGAAATCCGACGTCTTTTGCACTTCTGCACGTCTTAGTCTGGGCTGGCCGCATTTCAATGACCAGTTGCCACTGGCAGCCGTGTCTACCATGTCAGTCAGCACAGCCAGAGACGCCAGAGGCAGAGAGGTCGCCCATGCCCTTAACACGCACAGAGCGCCACCTCCTTTTCTGCCCATGGGGCCTCCTCCCAGTTGCCACAGTCCCTACCTTAGCTCAACCAAGACTCTTCCTTCTCTTGCCTGCTTCCAAAGGCAGATGTGAGTCCTCACTAACAAATCAAAAAATCTGAAACCTAAATACCCTCAGGAACAAACAGGCCAAGGCCCATCCTCTCAAGCCAGGGCAGGTGACTCCGTACCTGGCAACTAGATGGAAATGACTGGCGGCAGTGGGGAGTGCCATCCCACCCCGGACCATTTGTCAAGGGCTTGCTGTGCACTGGGCGCTAAATGAGTTCTGACACACTGCATCTCGTTGGGTGTTCAACATTATACAGATGCTCGTGGAGAGAAGTGTTCGGGAAGAAAGCAGGTTACAAGATAGCATCGTCCCGTTTTTGTAAAAAGACCAAAATATCAGTAGTAAGTTTCTCTACAAAGATAAATTCGGCAAATGGCTGATGGAGTTGGTCTCTCCGGGAGATGGCACCATGGAACTCCACCTCACATCTTGCACACCATACAGATACCTGGACTCTGGCGAGTGACAGCCCTTGGTGGCATAGGGTGGGTACCACCTCCCCCATGCCCACCTGCTCCTTCTCAGGACCTTCGGTAGAGGCCCACTCTCAGCTTACAGGGACACCTGGTGTAGGCTGGCCAGAAAGACCCTAGCCAGGGCAGCATTCAAGAAAGACAACATGTTTCTCCCCCAAGGAAGCAGAAGCCCTGTGCACAAAACCACACAATTCTCGGTCACCACCTTTGGCCAGGTCACACCTCTGCATTTCCAAATAAGGAGGCATCACTCCCATGCTCATCGGCCACTGAGGCACACTGCACACGCTCCAGGCTGGGCTTCCGCTGGGTGACACCAGGGCAGTACAGTGGTGACACAGGACAGTACTGGGTGACACAGGGCAGTACAACTGAAGGGTGGCGAGAACCAGCTCTGCAACTTGGGGGGCAAATGAGGGACTGGGAGCCTCAGAGCACCTGGCTGGCCTCTTGGAAAGAATGTTTCTGCACTGGAGAGTGGGGTCTCCCTTGCCCCCTTAGGCCAGACAACGGAGGGGAGCCAGGAAACCCTCCTCTGAGGGCCTAGGGAAGAAAGAAGGGACACATTCCAGGGATGTCAGGGGCTTCCCAGGGGCCTCCAAACCTGGGAGGGTCCGGGAGGTGGCTGGAAGCACAGGCTTCCTGACCCTGGACCCACTTGTGCAGAGACTTCCTCACTCGCCTGTGCTCAGCTACCCAGGGCCCCCAAACCAGAGGTCCCTCGGGTCCTCACACAGGAGACAGACCTCAGAGCAAGAGTCAGACCCTCTCATTGGTCTTCTTGAATTCTGTCTGAGCAGATCACTCAAATGTAACTGGACTCGCCCCGCTCAAATCCAAGTGCCCCTGGCAACCATGTTCTAACCAAGTCTTTCCAGCATCCGCAGAACTGGACTTTCTCTGAATAGCCACAATCGAGAACATCTGGAATACGGTGAGACAACAACCTGATACCTAAGACATCCTCAACGCTAGAGAGCCAGAGCCCGGTCACCACAGGGCACCTCCACATGCCAGGTTCCCAACACCCACCAGCTGCCCACTGGTGCCTCGAGACCAGGCAAACTTCTGACCCAACAGATAAAACCCCAGCTTCTTCTCAGAATGGAGGCTCCATTCTGGAGCGTCTCTGACCAACCAACCACGTGTCGTCTCCAGGTTGTGTTTCAGCATGAAGCAGATGGACAAGGGGCAGGGAATGCTGACCAGAGGAATGAGTGCCCACAGGCTGTAAACGTCACCACAGCAAAGGGTCTGACCGAATTGCTGAACGCAACACGGTGTGAATTTGGCCCAACTCAGGGCTTTTGCTTACTTATCTCTACACTACACACCATTTCAAAACTCAGACCCGGCGAGGCGTGGTAGCTCACGCCTGTAATCATAGCACGTAGGGAGGCTGAGCTAGAGGACTGCCTGAGCCCAGAGGTTTGAGACCAGCCTAGGCAACTTGGCAAGACCTCATCGCTATAATAAATAAATAAATAAATAAATAGCTGAGCGTGGTGGTGTGCCCCTGTGGTTCCAGCCTTCCAGAAGGCTGAGGCGAAAGGATCACCTGCGCCTAGCAGGTTGAGGCTGGGGTGGCCGTGATCGGGCCAGTGCACTCCAGCCTGGGCAACAGAGTGAGACTCCAACTCAGAAACAAAAAACTCAGACCCTACGTCTAAGTCACTGCCCCTTATCACCTTCTGCTACAAAAAGACCAGCCACCCTCATCCTCAGAGGTCAGTTACATAAAAGACAGCAAATGCCCACCCCTGGCTCTTCACTTCAGAAGGAAACGCAAGAAAAGTCTGTAATTGCCCCGTGATGGAAGGGGGCAAAGGAACCCGGCCGGTCACTGACCTGAACTTTCCAGTCCGCACCTGCAGGGCTCTCATTCCACACCGCTGGGCACCGCCGACGTCACCCACGATATCATCCCCAATCATGATGGCCTGTCACGGCAGTGAAATACGCACAGAAGTGATGTCGGGAGAATTTTATTCCTGTGCTCCTTCATCTTTTTTTGACATAATAAACTGCTTGATTTGATGTTTAAAACCAGCATCATACAAATTAAACAAGATAATATTGTCATCGTATTGATTAAAAGTCAACCCACCTTGAATATATCTCACACTGCCCCCCTGGGCCACAGCTCTGAACGGTATATATTTGTGCAATTTGAAATCAATCAGTAGATGTCAAAGTGATTTGGTGCCCCAAGGACGTGGGAGGAGGCTGAGGCTGCAGGCCTTGGCTGGAACACAGGCTACATTTTACCTGATCCCAGAGACTCTGTAACCAACTGATTTGCCAATCCTAGGTTCTGTAAAAACTAAGCAACTCTCTGGCGAATCTTTGTAAAGTGTTGCTTCATATAGGTTTTGCCTTCAATAGTGAACGTTTTGCCTATGAAAATCAAAATCACACACACACAAACACAATGCTCACATCCTGGAAATAATTTCAAAAAGCAGCCTCTGGTTGGGTGCAGAGGCTTATGGCTGTAATCCCAACACTTTGGGAGACCGAGGTGAGAGGACTGCCTGAGCCCACGGGTTCGAGACCAGCCTGGGCAACTTGGCAAGACCTCATCTCTACAACAAATAAAAAAAATTAGCCAGGCATGGTGGCGCGTGCCTGTAGTTCCAGTTACTTGGAAGTCTGAGGTGGAAGGGTCACCTGAGCCCAGCAGGTCACAGAGTGAGACTCCAACTAAAACAATTTTTAAAAACAGCCTTTGGAATATATTCTCCCACCTGAAACAACTAGAAAACCAGACAAACTCTGAGATAACAGTTTTCAAGATACTGGAAACAAACGAGGTGAACCCTGCAATTGCCCTCAACTCACTGCCTTCAGAGTTTCCAGACTGTGATGCAGGGAGGGTGTTATGGACCCCGCAAATTCATATGTGTCCCCACCAAATTCAAATTTGCCTAACCCTCAATGTGACTGTACTTGGGGACGGGACCTAGGCGGAGGCAGTTAAATTTAAATGAAGTTAAAAGGGTGGGGCCTTCGTTTGACAGGTCTGGTGTCCTTATGAGAGGAAAAGACACCAGAGCATGTTCTCCTCATACAAGCAGAAGAAAGGCCATGTAAAGACCTTTGTAAGAAGGCGGCCATCTACAAGCCAGAGGGGCCCTCACCAGAAACTGAATTTGCCGGCACCATAACCTCAGACTTCAAGCCTCCAAGGCTGTGAGAAAATAAATTTCTCTCACTTAAACCTCCTAGTCTGTGGTATTTTATTATGACGAGCTGAGCTGACTGATAACAGAGGAAAACCCCGGTGGAGCTCAGAAGACTCTTCTGAGGAGGAGACAGAGCTAAGACTCTGGGGAGGCCGACATGGCAAAGGTTCATAGGATGGAGCATCAGAGAGGAGAGGGAAGCATGGAGAGAGCGGTGAGAGACACCAAAGACCCCCTCAAGTATTCAGAGGCCACAGATTAGCACACGTTGGGGAGAAAACTGCCCAAGCCTGGGGAAAAGCCACACCAAAAAATCAGAGAAAACTGCCTGTACCTCACGCAGGATTGAATAGTTTCCCACCAGTCAGACTGGTCAATCTCACAATTCACGGGGTACTGAGTTGTATCTCAGAAGTGGCTTGCTTCAATAGTGGGGAATAACTAGTCCAAGATTAAATCCTACCCTGGTGATGCCTCCAAAATCTTAAAAGCAAGATCTGAAAGGATCAAACTGTTTCCAAGTAATTTAACTGTATCCCAGAACAAAGCTTAAAAATATTTGTGGGTGTACAAAAATAGCCAGCACTCAAAAAGAAGGCAAAATTGATAATGTCTGGCATCCCACAGAAAAAGACCTCAGACATGCAAAGAAGGAAAATATCAAACATATGAGGAGAAAAATCAATCAATCAAGACTGACTCAGAACTGACACACATGTGAAAATTACCAGACAAGAGCATTAAATCAGTTCTTGTAACTGTATTCCATATGGCCAAAAAGTTAAGTAGAGAAATGGAAGAGAGAATAAAAATCTCCAAATCAAGCTTCTAGAGATGACAACTGCAACATCAGGGATCGAAATGCACTGGCTGAGATTAATGTCAGAGCAGAGACTGCAGAAAATAAGATTAATGAACCTGAAGACATAGAGATAGAGACGATCCAAAATGAAATACAGACAGAAAAAATAATTTAAAAAGAAGGGACAGAGCATCAGTGAGCTACAGCACAGCTTCAAGTGGCCTGATAAACATGGAACTGAAGTCCCTGAAAGTGAGATAAGACAGGAGACAGATCTGAAGAACAATATATGAAAAATTCCCAATTCAGCAAAAATGATAAATCCACAAATCCAAGATCCCCGTGGAACACCAAGCACAAGAAACATGAAGAAAGCAACAAGCCACATCACAAGCAAATTGCTAAAAACCAGTAACGAGAAAAAAAAACATCTTGGCTGGGCACGGTAGCTCAAGCCTGTAATCCCAGCACTTGGGGAGGTTGAGGCGAGAGGATTGCCTCAGCCCGGGTGTTTGAGACCAGCCCAGGCAACATGGTGAGACCTCGTCTCTACAATAAAATCAAAAATTAGCCAGGTGTGGTAGCGTGCACTTGTAGTTCCAACTACTTGGAAGGCTGAGGCAGAAGGATCGCTGGAGCCCAGCGGGATGACGCTGGTGTGGCCGTGAGTGTGGCACTGTACTCCAGCCTGGGTGATGGAATGAGACTCCAGCTCAAAAAAAAAAATCAGGATTGCCTGAGCCCGCGGGTTCGAGACCCACCTGGGCAACTTAGTGAGCCCTCATCTCTACAATAAATAAAAAATCAGCCGGGCATGGTAGCGCGCGCCTGTAATTCCAGCTACTCGGAAGGCTGAGGCGGAAGGATCGCCGGAGTCCAGCCGGTCGAGGCTGCAGTGGCCGGGAGCAGCCACTGCACTCCAGTCTGGGCCACAGAGTGAGACTCCAACTCAAAAAATAAAAAAAAAAAATCTTAAAAACAACCAGAAAAAAAAAAGGCATGGTATATACAGAGAAGCAAAGATAAGATATTGGATTTCTTGTTGGAAACAACACAAGTGAGAGGACTATGGAGTTATCCTCTTTAAAGTACATGTACTGAAAGAAAAAATGTCCACCTAGAGTTTATATCCAGCAAAAATATGTTTCAAAGCAAAGGGGAAATGAGAATATTCCAGATATCTAAAGCTCAAAGTTCATTCCCAACAAAGCTACCCTACAGGAATTGTAGAAGGGAGTCCTTCAGGCAAATGGGAAATCACACCAGCTGAAAATATGGATCTACACAAAGCAATGGAAAGCACCAGAAGTGGTGCTGACTATCTCCTGCTTCCCTCCCTCCTGCTGGCAAAATTCTCCCAGTCCCTCAAGACCCCGTCCAGGTGACCCTTCCTCGGTCCCTGGGGCTGGGATGCACGGTCTTCCCAGAGCACTCTGTGATTGCCCCCTCGTGTTGCCTGTGTCATACTGTTATCAATGGACTCCTCTCGTCTCCCTCTTCCAGAAAAGGGAGCAGAGGCAAGGACTGTGGGCTGACAACTGGCATTTAGTTGATGCTCAACAAATGCCTACTGAGTGGATCAGTGTTCTGAATTAAGGCATGGGCTTTAGGGGGCACAATCAACAAGACTTCTCATTGGCCGCCAGTGAAAAGAACGGAGGAGCCGGGCTCGGTGGCTTGCCTGTAATTCCAGCACTTTGGGAGGCTGAGGTGAGTGGATTGTCTGAGCCCGTGGGTTCGAGACCCGCCTGGGCAACTGGGCAAGACCTCATCTCTACAATAAATAAAAAATTAGCCGGGCGTGGTAGCGCGGGCCTGTGATTCCAGCTACCTGGAAGGCTGAGGCAGAAGGATCGCAGGAGCCCAGCAGGTCGAGGCTGCGGTGGCCAGGAGCGTGCCACTGCACTCCAGTCTGGGAGACAGGGTGAGACTCCAACTCAAAAAAGAAAAGAACAGAGGAAGTCTTACGGTCCAGTTCAAAGCTGCCAGAACTTTCGTCATTTGTGGGTCTCCTCTTGTATTAACGCGTATCATTAATGATATCTAAAATTGATTCATACTTGATGTATTGTAGAGATGAGGTCTTGCCAAGTTGCCCAGGCTGGTCTCGAACCCATGGGCTCAGGCAATCCTCTCACCTCAGCTTCCCAAAGTGCTGGGATTACAGACGTGAGCCACCACACCTGGCAACTGATTCGTACTTTTAATGTAAACACAAGTATTTTTAAAGTAGAAAAAGTCATCGTTCTCATTCCCTACCTCAAAAATCTGACTAGAAGCTTTAAAATATTTTCAGGAAAAGGTCTGCAAGTGAAGGTTTGCTAGCACTGTGGATATCAGACGGATTACAGATGTGCTCTCGAGGCCAATCAGGAATTTCCTTGGTCAAGGGGCCAGACAACCTAAGAAACTGAACTTTGGAAGGCGGAAGCAAGAGGACTGCCTGAGCCAGGGGTTCGAGATCAGCCTGGTCAACTTATTGAGACCTCACCTCCACAATAAATCAAAAAACTAGCTGGGCGTGGCGGAACAGGCACATAGTTCCCGTACTTAGACGGCTGAGGCAAAAGGATCGCCTGAGCCCAGTGGGCCAAGACTGCAGTCTTCGTGATCGTGCACTCCAGCCTGGGGGACGAGTCAGACTCCGACTCCAAAAGAAAAGAAAAGAAGAAAAAGAAAAAATAAAATAACGACCATGAAGCATTCACAGCCGAGGGACTCTTACTGGTCACGGGCCCATCAATTTGGACTATGACAGTGCAGACACACGTCTACGTGGAATTTGCTCTCCATCAAAGGGGGCCACAGAGAGGGAGGTGGGGCCTGTGTGACCAGCAGAACGGACAGACTGACTCAAGTCTCTCAGACTGAACCAGAGCAGCTAAGGCAGAATCCCAGCTCTGGTGTTTGCCTGCAACGTGACCTTGGGCAAGCCTCCACTTCAATCTGTAAA